TGAACGAAGTGGCTGATGTGGAAATTTATAGCAGCCAAACAGTCTAAACGCACGTTGATTCTAAATGTGGAGGGAACAACCGGAGGGTCCGGAGAAAAATCCACACGATCACAGGGAGAGAGACACGCAAACTCCAAATATACAGCAGCAGCAGCAGGCGTCAGGGTCGGGATTGAATCCACGACCTCCTGTAGACCTGGCGAGGTAATTAACATCTCCTAGCCACCGTGATGATGATGGTGATGGAGAGAGAGACACGCAAACTCCAAATATACAGCAGCAGGCGTCAGGGTCGGGATTGAATCCACGACCTCCTGTAGACCAGGCGAGGTAGTTGACATATCCTAGCCACCGTGATGATGATGATGATGATGGAGAGAGAGACACGCAAACTCCAAATATACAGCAGCAGACGTCAGGGTCGGGATTGAATCCACGATCTCCTGTATACCAGGCGAGGTAGTCAACATCTCCTAGCCACCGTGATGATGATGATGGAGAGAGAGGCACGCAAACTCCAAATATACAGCAGCAGCAGGCGTCAGGGTCGGGGTTGAATCCACGACCTCCTGTAGACCAGGCGAGGTAGTTAACACCTCGCCACAGCGGTAGCGGTGCGAGGGAGCCTTGATCTGCCGTAGCTTCTGCTTGCTGAGGCAACACTACTCCCGAATCACATCACGGACACTGCTGGCAACAACCGAACTTTCTAAATCAAAATGTTAAACGTGCTGTGCTTGAGCCGGCTTCTTGGTTGAGCTAGATTGATTTGGCCGAGGGCCCAAACGCCCTGGGAGGCTCTGCGCAAAGAGCTTTTGTCCAAAAATAGTCAATCACATCGAGCCTAAGATTTTGGAGATCGCCGGATGAATTATGTGTGTGTCGTACACCCTCCTCCACCCGGCACAGCAAATTAATAAAGTTGTCACGTGATGAACAAATGTTCCAATGTCTTTACTGCTTCAACAGCTTGCTGGAGTGTGATCATCATGATCGCTCTCCAACAGCATTAGTGGTAATACATTGGAATGAGTGTACATCACGTGACAACTTTGATAAATGACTGTGTCGGGTGGAGGAGGGTGTACGACACACATTTTACTCACGTGGCCATCTGACCCCGAAATCAAATATCAATCATATTGCTCGCGAAAGGCTGCTGTGCATGTTACAATAAACCATATCGCTAACTGTTGTATCATACAACCCCTCCGTGTGTACGTCTAATAACGCACAGACACACATACCTCTGCCTCTGTGTGTATCTAATGATTCACACACTCACAACCCTCTCCTTGTCTCCACGTCTACCGACCCAGGCACCGACTCACGCACTCCTCTCTCTTCCTCCCTCTTCGCCGTGCGATTCACGCCGAGATCCGCCACTCGGCCCCCCCCCCCCCCCCCCGTAATCTTATTGAAGCCGAAATCTGCTGAGATCACTCGAACGCCGTTTAATTTGCGGCGAGGCCACGGAACGATCAACACCGCCGCCGCCTCCTCCCCGGCACGACGAGAAGGAGGAGGAGGGGGGCTTCATCGAGGTGCTCTGATGGCGGCTCAACGCGTTCGACTCGAGTGAAGAGGAATTCAATTACGGCAAAATCATAATGGCTGTCGCAGGTCCCATTAAACAAACCCCTGGGAGCACGTGGGGACTCTCTCCTCTTCTTCCCCGCTCGCGGCGCCTCCATGGATTGGATTGCACCACCAGTCCGCCAGCGTCGCACCGTTGCGGGTCTACCGGCGCAGGAGCATGCCCACCGCATGTCTCGGAGCGCCGGGAAGTCAGGGAAAACGTCCCCTCGCCGCGCCGGAAGGAGCGCCCGAGCCCGTATCGCGTCGCGATTGCGAGTTGCTCTCCCAGGGGCTAAAGAGCAGAAACCGCAGCGCAAACAAACGGCGCCATCGGAGAGCAATCGGAACGAGAGCCAGGGGCTACACAGGGGCGTCCCCAACGACAACACACTAGCCCCAAGCAGAGTAGCCCCAACACCAACACACTATCCCCAACACACTAGCCCCAAGCAGAGTAGCCCCAACACCAACACACTAGCCCCAACACCAACACAGTAGCCCCAACACTAACACTAGCCCCAAAAAAGTAGCCCCAATATCAATATTAGCCCGAACACAGTATCCCCAAAACGAACACTATCCGTAGCCCCAACACAGTAGCCCCCAACACAGTAACCCCAACCTTAACATGAGCCACAACACAGTAGCTACAATACTAACCCGAACCCCAATACCAACCCTAACCCCAACATTCACCCTAACCCCAACACTAGCCCTAGCCAGAACCCCAACACTAATAACCTAGCCTCAACCAAACACCAAATGTCACCCTAACACTACTCCAAACCAAATCTGGCTCTAACACTTAAATTAACCCAAACCCTTGCCCCACCTGCCTCATGACATCTGACCCCTGCACTCCTACACAGGCCTTTGTTTTGACATTGGCATCTCCAACAGTCATCATCACCCATGTAAACATGAACATACACTCACTCACTCATTATCTCACACAACAACAAATACAAAGACCCCCCATATAGCCTTTAACAGACTGCTTGGCAAGTTCTGTTAGCGAACAGCACCTATGAAGGCTGGCTGGCACAGCACAACGAGGGGTTGGTGGCCAGCACCACGCCCGGCCGCCTTTGTCTCCCCAGTGGCTATGTTTACACTCCAATTGAGGTACTCATTTGAGGCTCGGTCGACCTAGGGGAGACCCAAGACCGGTTCAGCTAATCGTCACTGATGTTGGCTATGAGCGGGAATCGAACTCGGATCGCCAGGTTCGTAGCACAGCGCATTAAACGCTGCGCAGCTACTCCCTTTCCTCATGTCTCACACACCAAACACTTTCCGGGAAGACAAAAGCCACTCCTATAGCCTTAACACACTGTTGGAGCAAGCGCTATGAATACGCACCTATGAAGGCCAGCACCATGCTACCATACCCTACCCTACACACACTCACCACACTACGTCTCTCTCTCTCACCACACCACAAGTCACCACACACCCGAGCTAGCCAGCTCAGCTGGCTTGACATCCTCCCCTCCGCCCAGCTCCGACAGGTAGTGGACATGTGGAACAGGTGCCCACACACGCTCACACACATACACACGCTCACACACATACACACGCTCACACACATACACACGCTCACACACATACACACGTCTGTCTGTCTGTGTGTCTGTGTGTGTGTGTGCAAGTATGATGGGGAGCAGTCGTGCAGTGGTTAGCATTCTCCGCTACCAACCCGTCGGCCCAAATTCGAATAGTTAAACTGGTCCTGTGCCTCACCTAGGTCGACTCAGCCTTAAATGAGTAACGAATGCAGTGTGTAAACATTATCCAATGGGGAGACCAAGGCTGCCGGGCGTGGTGTTTGCCACCCAGCCCACATTGTGTGCTGTGCCGGCCTACATAGGTGCTCGCTAACAGCCCTTGCCGCAAGTTTGCTAATGGGCTATACGGGAGATCTTTGTCTTTGTACGTATTAGGTGTGTGTGTGCGTGGGTGGAGGGGTCAAGGGGACCATCCCATGCAGCTGCCGTGAAGGAATTACAGATCAGCGCACGCAGCTGTCCGCACAAGATTCATGGATCCACACACAGGGGTCACGGAGGAGCACACACGCAACACGCGCGTGCGTGTGTACACTCCCACACCCATAGCACGTACACGAGGGCGCAGTGTACACTCAATCACACGCACGTGTACACACACACACCGACCCTCATGTGCTCAAACACACGCAGGCACGCAGCCACATCAGCAGAGGTGGTCCATGGGCCAGGACAGAAAACTAGATTTTTGCTATGTACATGAAATATGGTTTTCATAGGTGGTCACTGACACGCTCCGCCTTGGAATGTGAACTGGAGGGTATCGGTGACCGCCTTATGAATAACTCATGCCACCTAAGGTGGCACAACTTTAGTCGTGCCGATTAAAACTATGAACTATGTTTTATTTGACCAGGTGAGGCCCACTGAGCTGTATCGCTCTTATTCAGAAGCGACTGGCCATCACAAATAATAGCTCGGCAAAGTGGCTTATCGTGTAGAAATTTATAGCAGCCACATATTCTCATCGCACCTTTCTAAATGGTTTCTTTATACAGTCAATATGAGTGAATCACGAGATAACCCCAATCAATTAAATAATGGTTCTCGTATAAGTCAATGTGGTTGGCCACATACAGAAATCATAACTGCTAAAATGCTATGCCACCTCTTCCAACACATCTGTCTGGTCAACGTGGAAGAGTAGACTAAATACAACTTTAGAGGTCGCTGTAGCAGAGGCCCTACTGCCAAGCAGTGGCGTGAGCCAGCAATTGCAGAGGCTGCACCATTACCTTCTACTCGTGTGAGTAGCTCCATGTGAAGTAAAGTACGGACATGGTCAACGGAATAGCCAAACCACACGCAAACTGATCGTGTCCTGCTGAGGAGCATCATCATGGGGAGGCGTGAAGACCGTCAGGGCAAGCGAACCCCCCCCCCACCCAGTGATCCAGTCATTGGGTGGGTGGGGTTGTAGGAAGGTGAGGGTTGTGGTTTGGGCCTAGGATTGTAGCCAGGATGAAGGTTGTGGTTAGGGCCTAGGATTGTATCAAGGCGAGGGTTGTGGTTAGGGCCTAGGATTGTATTCAGGGTGAAGGTTGTGGTTAGGGCCTAGGATTGTATTCAGGGTGAAGGTTGTAGGACAAAGGTTAGGGATGTGGTTTGTATATATGAGTGAGAATTGTGAGTGGGGGGGTTGTGGTAATGGTGATGGTCGTGGTTCTGGTGAAGCTGGTAGGTACGGTGAGGATTGTGATTGAATGAGGTTGTCGGCGGTTAGAAGGCTGGTACGCGTGATGGTTGCGGGCAGCGTGACCATCAAAACATTCAGACGGTGATCTCGGCAACACCGCGGCGGCCACAGCTCAACGACCACGTGTGACGGCCGGCAACTCAACATTACTCACGCACCCGGCAGATCATCGCCAACGGCTCGCTCACCCGTGTAGTCGTCCTGGCACACGCAAGTGTAGCCGCCCTCCCGCCGCAGGCAGCTGCCGTTGCTGCCGCAGGGGTTGGAGTAGCACAGGTTGATCTCGGTCTCGCAGTAGTCGCCGGTAAAGCCCGGCGGGCAGCGGCAGCGCAGGCCGTGCACCGGGTGGATGGGGCGGAACAGCACGGTGCTGGACGAGATGAACGGCGCCGAGCTGTCGAAGCGCTGCACCGACACGCACTTCATGTAGTTCTCACACGGCTCGCGCAGGCAGATGTTGTCGTCGAAGGGCAGCACGCGCTGGTCGAGGATGCGCGCGAGCAGCGAGCGGTTGAGGTACACCTGCTCCTGCAGCTCCTCCGACGAGAAGTACTGGCCGTGCCCGCCGCCCGGCAGCAGCGCCGAGAAGCTGACGTTGAGGATGCGCGTGGCGCGCACGTCCGTGTCGTTCTGCACGTTGAACACGAAGATGTCGTCCTTGGGCGTGGACAGCACGGCCGACACGCCGTCCAGGAAAAGGCTGAGCAGTGGCGAGAGGAAGCGCTCCTGCGACATGTTCTCCAGCCGCACGGTGATGCTGTTAGTGAGCATGTCGTCTGTGATGATGGCGACGCGCAGCACACACTGCGCGCTCACGCTGTGCACGCCGTCTGCGGGAGGGGGGGCACAGAGCGCACAGTTAACGGCGGTACGTTGCATTACGGTACGCAGGTGCACAGGGCGCGCAGTTAGAGGCACGAGGTTCGTCGTTGGGGATGAACGGAATGTGGGCAACCGTTGACGGTGCAAGGAACGCGGCCAGGAAGTGACACAGTTTGCCTACAACAACGACAGCTCCTCTGATTTGCACGGTTGGCTACGTACGGTGCGAATGAATTTCAACATACATACAGCAACAAAACAGCTGCCATTCGCCACCACTAAGTGCTGGATAGCAGGGCTCGTGCCAGGAGCACACGGACACGCACACATAGGGCAACATGCACACGCACACACACACACACGTAGAAATACAGCCACAGCGACCCCGCGCACACAGCGGGGCAAGGGCAGCCACGGGTGGTCAGTCTTACCGACCGTCAAGCCATACGCGACCCGGCAGGCAGAACCGGGCGGCTCAGCGGGCAGACGTGGGGTCAGGAGAGAGGATAGGGTACAGGGCAGAGAGGGCAGGAGGGGACAAGGAGAGAGGAGACGGGGAAAGGGAAAGTGGAGGGGACATGAGACTGGGAAGAGGGGACAGGAGAGGGAGCAGCAGAGAGATGGGAGAGAGGAGAGGAGACAGGGAAGGGGATAGGGACATGTGCAACCCGCTGCTGGGATGCCATGGCAATGTTCGGCGATGTCGTTGATTGGCTGAGATGAGCGAAGCTCACGATGGCGGCCAAATCAAGTCAAACAATTCTAGCGAGCACGGCTATCACTGCATGCACCACGCACGCACACACAAAGATCCCCCGTACAGCCTACACAAACTGTTGGCGCAAGTGCTTCTTAGCGAGCACCTACAAAGCCCGAGAGAGAGCACCTATGAGAGTACGGAGTGGCCGGCACCACGCCCAACCACCTTTGTCTCTCCTCAGTGCTGATGTTTGCACACCACGCCAGATGCTCACACGAGGCCGAGCTGACCTCATGGAGGCCCAGCACCGGCTCAGATATCCACCACTGATGTTGGCCAGGAGCAGAAATCGAATTCGTGTCTCTGGGTTCGTTGTGCAGTGCGCTAGCCACTACAACTACCCCCCCCCCCCCCCCACAACGCCCATGTACACAAAAAGCGCCATTCTCCACTACGTGGCCGTGATGTCCCACAGAGCTTGCGCCAGGCTAGGTGCACGTTGAGGCCGTCACGTGACGGTGTGCAAGGCTATAGCTGACGAGCAGGGCACCGGGTGTGCCGCGCTCCGAGCAGCGATGTTTAACATGCAGCTCCCACTTCTTCATTGCCGGCCTCGCTGATGAGGGGTGGAGAGGGGGTGGGGGGCAAGAGGGGGCCAATGGGGGGTGGGCAGGGGAGAGTGGGGAGGGGGGGCGGGGGTTGAGCAGGCGAGGGGGGGGCAGAGAGGATAGAGGGGGAAGGGGGGGCACGGGGGACAGCAGGGGGGGGGGCAGAGAGGGCAGGCGAGGGGGGGCAGCAGGGAGGGCAGGCGAGGGGGGGCAGCAGGGAGGGGGCAGGGGGGGCAGCAGGGAGGACAGGCGAAGGGGGGCAGCAGGGGTGGGTGAGGGTGGGGGGCAGGGAGGGACCACCACCACCACCACCAAGGCCGACGTGCTATAATAATAATACGGCGGCAGCAGCAGCAGCGCACGGCACGGACGACGAGAGCGGAATAACAAACGAGGCGGCGTGGCACAGTGGCGTCACGCACACAAAGACAAAGATCCCCCGTATAGCCTTAGCAGACTGTAGGGGCAAGTGCTGTGAACGAGCACCGGAACGGTACACATGGGTGGCCAGCACTACGCCCGACCGCCTTTGTCTCCCCAGTGGCGATGTTTTTACGCACCGCACCTGGTACAGTGCTCATTTGAGTCTGAGTCGACCTAGGGGAGGCCCAGGACCGGTTCAGATAATCGTCACTGTTGTTGGCCGTGAGCGGGAATCGAACTTTGGTCGCCGCTAACCGCTACACCACCGCTCCCCACACGTGCACGTGCACGCAGCAGTATAACGTAGTGCAGCACACACACACCACAAAGGAAAAGGTTCCCGTGTAGCCTTTTTAAACAGACTGGTGGGCCAGGTGCAATGAGCCAGCACCTATGAACCACGCCCGGCCGCCTTTGTCTCCCCGGTGCTGATTTTGACACGCTCATTTAAGGCTGAGTCGACCTAGGGTTGGCTCAGGACCGGTTCAGGTGTTGACCACTGATGTTAGCCGTGAGCGGGTCGCTGGGTTAGTAGTGCCGTGCATTAACCACTGCACTACCACACACAACATACAAAGACCCCCCGTGTAGCCTTAACAGACTTTAGGGGGCAAGTGCTGTTATCGAGCACCTATGAAAGCTGGAAAGGCACACAAGGGGGTGGGTTGCCAGCATCACGCCCGAGACCGCCTTTGTCTCCCCAGTGGCGACTTTTACACACCGCACCAGGTACTCATTTAAGGCTGAGTACACCTAGGGGAGGCCGTGAGCGGAAATCGAACCCAGTTCGCCGGGTTCGTCGCACAGCGCTCTAACCACTGCGCCACCGCTCCCCACACACACACACTTACACAACCCCCACACACACACAAAGATCCTCCGTGTAGCCTTAACGGGCTGTTGGGCAAACACACACACAGACACCCCCTCCAAACAAGACGACGATTTCCCGTAGAGCCTACAGCAGACTGTTGGGGCAGGTGCTAACAAAGGGGCCGTCCATAAATGACGTCACACACCTAGGGGGGGGGGGTCAGGCATTTGTGACGATGTGTGACGAGGGGGGGGGGGGTGAGAAATGTGACGTCACATCAAAATGCGCAACTTTAATTAAATATAGACAACACATGTGCTGTTTCATTCAGACTCTGTCGCCTCGACGGACCTGGTTTTCACCTGAGGACGGCTGCTTGCGTTGTGGCCGAAACGTCGTGAGAATAATTGTATTGTTTTATTTTTATTATTTTATTACTTCCCTTCTACGTGACTTTACCGAAAGAACCAAGAAGATGAACACGTTCTACTTAATGAAATAGACTTTTTAATAAATGTTTTCTCCTACAACATCAGAGTGTAGCGGCACATCAAATACGTACTACAATGACAATAGTTTAAAGCGATTTGAAGCATGTTTTATTTTTGTGGGGGGGGGGGGGGGGCAGAGCTTCGTGACGTCATATTTGAGGGGGGGTCTGACTTTTTCTGACGCCGTGTGACTAAGGGGGGGGGGGGTCAAAAATCGCGTGACGTCATTTATGGACGGCCCCAAAGACAAATATACACTACCGTATAGCTATTAGCCAGCACCGAACGAAGGCAGGCACAGCACACGAGGCGGTAGATGGTCAACACCACGCCTGACCGCCTTTGTATCCCCCAGTCCAGTACTAATGTTAACAAAGATAGACAAATATCCCCCATATAGCCTTAACAGACTGTAGGGGCAAGTGCTGTTAGCGAGCACCTATGAAGGCTGGAACGGTACACGAGGGGTTGGGGTGGCCAGCACCACGCCCGACCGCCTTTGTCTCCCTAGTGGCGATGTTTACACACCGCACCAGGTACTCATTTAAGGCTGAGTCGACCTAGGGGAGGCCCAAGACCGGTTCAGATAATCGTCACTGGTGTTAGCCGTGAGCGGGAATCGAACCCGGGTCGCCAGGTTCATAGCGCAGCGCGCTAACCGCTACACCACCGCTCCCCTACACAGACACAGTCACACACACAGACACACACACAGACACACAGTCAACCACACAGTCCCACACACAGTCACACACACAGACACACACACAGACACACACAGTCACACACACAGTCACACACAGTCACACACACAGACACACACAGTCACACACAGACACACAGACACACCTGTGTCAAGGAAACAACCCAGCCTCCCCTCGCTGTGGGTGCAGGTGTGAGCTGCCCCCACGTGTGTTCGTTCAAACGGACCAATCCCGGCAGCCGCCTCGCTCCTCTCCCCATCCCCCTCCTCGCCGACCAATCACAGCCCCAGGTGAGACGCAAACCTGCGGCTAAGGATGGCAGCGAGAGGGGCTAATGCAGGTGATGTCACTTTTAAAGAAGCGGCGTCAGCTCATCTGGTGTCGGTGACATCGGCTTGCCCCTGTGTGGGGATTGCGGCGATATTAGGGGGCGAGGGGGGGGGAGTTTCCCATGACCCTAAAGGGCCATCAATTTAGTACGTACGCATGGAGGGGGGGGGTTAACACAAATGCGTACGATAATAAATTGTCTACATTGGCCTTCAAATGAGTTAGATAGTCCGGCGGTGGGCTATCTGTCTGCTTAAACACGTGACTATTATTAATCCTTGATCGTTTCTGCGTGGATTAAATATCGGCCGTTCTATAGGATTCGGGGGAGGGGTGCGTCAGGCGAATGTACGCAGGTGAGGGGGGGGTCAAAAGTCCGCGTGAGTAGAGGGAGGGGGGGGGTAAAATTTTTACAGATTTTTGCGTACCTACTCAATGGATGGCCCCTAACTGAATGATGTCACGGTATATATATATATTTTTTTATCACGTACGTGATTTGCTGTATTTCCAAAACGCACAGTGATTCTCCGTTAAGTCCCTTGCACTCCAGTTCGCTCAACACAAGTTGTCGTCGAAGCGCCGCGACTTTACAAGCCACGGCGCTGCATGACACACGTGCCTTCAGTTCCACAAGAAACCATCCAAATGAGCGATAAAGTCAATCATTGTGGCCGTGGTAATGGCGATGTCGACAGTGACACCGCGAGACATTATGACGACGGGAGCTGGTCTCCCAGGAAAGCCTCACCGAGTCTCGGTGGCGAGACGTGAACTACCTCGCCCGGTCTAGGGGAGGTCATGGGTTCGATCCCGACCCTGGCGCCTCTACATTTGGAATTTGCGTGTCTCTCTCCCCACGTGGTCGTGTGGATTTTTCTCCGGGCCTACCGGTTTTTTCCCTCCACATTTGGAAACACGCGTTTCTAGCATTCGGC